TTTAATTGGGGTGATGTGTGTGTACATATTAACCCCTTATTGAATATATGGCTTGCAATATTTTCTCCCATTCTGTAGTTGTGTTATCACTTTGTTGATGGTTTTTCTTTGCAGAAGTTTTGTTTGATGTAGTCTAAAACATCATTGCCAAGACCAATATCAAGGAGCTTATCAATTTTTCTTCCACAAGTTTATGGTTTCAGGTTTTTTGTTCAAGTCTTTAATCTTGATATTTTATAAAACTGAATCATTACTGCAGGAGGGTCATATCAATTTTCTCCATATTCAAATTTTAGTATATGTGCTGCTGAAGTGAGCACTTCAATATTTGCTGAAAAAAGTGTTCTTTCCCATAGTATATATGTTATGGGCTACTTTGTTGAAATGAGTTCTATATAAGTGAGTTTATTTCTGGGGAGATAGAAATTTAAATAGAAATTTAATTAATTTTAACATCCCACAAGGTCATACTAATAAAATCAAACTGCAAATGTCAAAAATGTACTTGCACTAATGATACAAAAAGTCTCTAAAGTATTAAATCCACTGTTTTGTTGGGTAAGAAAACTAGATATTCATTTCACAAAATCCATATTTAAAGAAACCTGTTTTAGCTGCATATTATCAACAACACTCATTTTTTTTTTTTTTTTTTTTTTGCAATTTCCCATAATGAATTGCCATCTTGTTTCCTCAGTGGTAAGGGCCACTTGAGCGTCTTCAAGCCGACTGGATGTAAATACTTCCACCAACATCTAGTATGTTGTATAAGTCCTTTAGAGAATTCTCAGAATTCATATTTTTGCTATATAAAACACAGACTTTCACAAAGAGTTCCTTTGTCTTCAAAGATAAAACTCCATGGTCTCAATCTTCAAAAGGGTGTGCCTCAAATAAAAAAGCTGTTTATTCAGAAAAATCATCACCCAAATTTATTTTAATCTTATAAGTGACTGAGTCCAAACACAGCTGCCAGCACTTCCTGGTCATCTTCCTCTGAGTCCTGGGTCAGGTCAAGTGCTGGCTTTGGAACCTTTGTGGCCAGGGAACCAGTGGGGACTGAGTCCCAGTATTTTTCTACTCTACAATATTTTAAAGTTATCTTTTTATTCTGCTCCCTAGGAGATATTACTGATAATTTTCAATCATTCTGTTTCATTTATTGAGTTTTCTCATACCATCCTTTCCTTTTTCTTTGGATTTTATGATTCAATATTTTCTTGACTCTAGATGCTAGAAGACTGGGTACAAATTTCCCTCACTATCAAAAAGTAGAATAGTTCTATTTGGTAGGTTATTTTTGGAGTCTGAGAATACTAAAAATTTTCTTACCATATAAATGAATAGTAATAGTATTTCCAACTCCAAAATGCAAGAATCCTAAATAAATTATCAGTATATCAAATCCACTTGTTTATTAAAATACTAATGTGACCAAAGAAAGTTTATCTTAGAAATAAAAAGGACCTTGAAAATATATTTATGTTCATTAGGGGTCACATGAGGAAAATTATTGGATCATTTCAAGATCTATTGAAAATCCATTGTTAAAATTCCACATCTGTTCCTGAACACAGCTGTAATAAATGAGAATTGGAAGAGGTAAATGGAGGAAAACTTCCCAAGCTTAATTTCTTCATATCACCAATACTGAAATTAGCAAAAAAAAAAAATCTACACCAATCGCTGTTACTCTATACGATATCTGGTTAAAATTGGTTATTATATTAGCTAGTGGCTTGTCTAATGAGGAGAATGAGAATAAAGGACCCATTCTTTTCTAAAATTGAAATATCACTGAAGGGAAGGAAGGAGCATGAGATCAGGCACAGATGAAAAGCGCGATGGCAGGAAGTTTGGCAAGCGGGCAGCAGCGATGAGAGAAAACCACAAGGGTGAGCCTTGTCATATTTACAATTTGTGTATGACTAGGCTAACTCTAAAAGTAATAGCAATAACATCCCAAAATAATTAGTATACATTTAGTTTACTAATAAAACATTTCAAATATAGGTTTGAAACAACTGAAATAACAGTATAAATTCCCTGATAGGTATCTCCTCTCTAGTTGTGGTGACATAAAATTTGAATTTTATTATTTTCCCTCTTCCTTTTCACTCACAAATGCAAACACTTATCTAACTACAAACTTTTAACCTCTCACTGAGATTCTAAGCTAATTATGAAAGTGCTTAAATCTATCCACCTGTCTTTTGTTTTGCTGCCTACCTGGGCCTTTCTCAAGCAGGCAGAAAATCTCCAATCAGTCTGTTATCATGACCAGAATGCAAGAGATTAGTGACCAGGGAGAGAAGCAGAATCGGTTTACATACTTTCAGGCAAGAGAAAGCTATTACTTCACAGGCAAGAAATCTGAGGCTCTCTGACCTTAATTTAGAAAACCTGCAGTTAATAATCACATTAAAGTTGGTTTCACAGGCCGGACAGTTTTTCTTTCCTCTGTTGTTTTTAAAATTTGAGTGAACTTTGTGGTTACCAAAATTATTTGCCGAAAAGCATATTTTAATATTTAAAATGTTTATAATAATGCAGATTTTTTTAAACAATAAATACTCAGGTATTTATGTATACCTGAGTTAAAACACACTTTTGCATTAATTTTTCCAAGGTTAGTAACATTGCTTGCATTTATCCAGAGTGGAATTTAGCAATATAACTTGTTAATGATGAAATCAAAACACAACTCCTTTCTTAATTGAGGAATAAAATGGGTTTTCACTGTTAGCTCAAATAATGTATAGATCCACTCACCCTTCCTTCCAAAAGGACAATTGTTTCTCCAAGGAAAGAGAACGAAGCCTGAAGCTACAAATTTAGTAAGAAAAATGGGTCAAAGAACAGAAATGCAAAGCCAGAGAGCGAACTGGAAGAGGTTGTAGCAGGTCACTATGCAGAGGTTTTGATAACAGCAAACTGAACTTGGTTTCTTTTCATAATCAAATGCTTAATGAAAATAAATCTAATACCATAAGCCAAAAAGAAGTCTAAGTGATCTTCTAAAGTGTGATTAACTTGACATTCTACTAAGGGCACTGTCATAGTTGAGCCCATTTCAACTGCTTCAATATTATTCACTGTGTTCACTAGAAAAACAGTTATTCTGAGTCTTCAAATACCTGTTCTTTTAGAGTGATCTACAGTTTATATGTATGTTTCTCTGTATAAGCAATTGAAATGAAATTATAGTCCAGCTATGGAGACGATGCTCACAGAATGAAAATATAGTGTGAATCTGTTATCTATTTAATCTATCCATATAGAAGAAAAGCTGCAATGTCATCTTTCAGTGCCAAAAAAGTTTCAGTTTACAAAATATTACCAATATACTTTAGAAAATATGAAAATGTAATTTATACTCAAAGGAAAAAAATCGCAGTCATGTTTGCTACTTCCATCATAAAAGGAAAAAAATATCTATTACAGATATGAAATCAGTCTCTCTGGGGTTAAGCCTAGAGGAAAAGAGACTGACACATATGGGATAAATTTGCAAAAGTCTGAAAAGATGTATTTGCCTACTATTATTGTAAATTATGGATAGATTTTCTAGATATATAATACTAACTAGCCATCTCAAGGTTGAGTTGGTTGCATCATGTATATTCTCAGCATTTAAACTTTCTCAGAAATACAGACAAATTAACTTAAAATATTGCTCTACTAAATTCCCATCTGCCTTGGACATTGTAACAAAAAGTTAAAGTCAGTGCTGTTTTTAAAAAAGACACTAAATGAACTGTTCTTTTTCATTATGTACCTGAACTAGAGTTTTGGGACCTTTTTGGTCTCACAACTTTCTAAAAACTATTTTGGCAATTTTTATTCATGATATTAATAATAATTACATAGTACTAAGTTATTTATCTTTGTGAACAACCTTAGGATGATAAACATGTCCCAGTGGCATTCTTAGCAGAAAAGAAGTTCTGGGGAATAAACAGTAGTCTTTTAAATGTGAATTTAAAAAGATCTATATAATAAAAATATTCATGTGTAATTTAAACACTGACACTAATATTTCCTGTAGTTCATTAAGAAAAATTAATCATTTATGTAACAAGTGGTTTTTTCCTTTGGTAGTTATATCTATGAATCATTTTGCAAGATATTTTTTTCATTGTTAGAAAAGACTAAAGTATACTAACAAAATTGAAAAGGAAATTTGTATCTTTTCAGTAACCCCTTAAATATTTTATCTATAGAATTTATTTAGTAAAGGATATTTACTGTCATTTATAAAAATAGATTATACTCATGAAAATAAAAATTTCTCTCAATTTCAAGTAAACATTTACTGAATATTACATCTTAGGTATTGTGGTAGGTGTTTTTATAAGATTCTCTGCCTTAAATTTTCTGACTAAAAGCACCCAAAGTGCTAAGTCAAAAACTTTGCCTGTAAACATTTTGTCTTCTGAATGTTAAGGACTCAGCCTACTCTAACTTAATTATCGAGAAATGTTAGCATTACAATGCTAGTAGTTTTTGTGTTTGAATGTTTTATAACATATATATTTTTTCATTAAAAAACTTGTCAAAGTAGATGGTAGGTATCATCCTTGAGATAAAAACATAGAAATAATGCTCTTTTAACTAATGCAAACCACCTGTCTAAATATTTATATTCAACATTAAAAAGATCCAGCTGAAATACAACTTCTCTAATTCTGATCAACCTGAGAACTATTTTCCACAGTTAAAGGGACAATAAACACAAAAACTAGCATTGTTTTTCTGTGATTAGGTTACAGTATTTTAAGTCTCTAAACATTAGAATTCCTCACACAGCTGTTAATTGTGGACCAGGGAGCTGGCTGACATCTGCTTCTTGCTTATTTCGTTAATGGTTCACTTCCAGGTCCTAAAAGGATTGTAGCCTTTTTCCAAAGATAATGTCGGACCCATCTATGTCTGCCTCTACATAGTTAGCTTGTTCTGGTTTGTCACTCTCCATACAATGCAAATCTGAGTGAACTCACATCTGTCACTGATCGACCCAATTCGTGGGCAATCTTTTCCCATCGACCTGGGGTCCCTCCAGGGAACTTAACCATACTTCTTGTCAGCTGGCTGAGGTCCTCTTCTGTCCATTCAGGTGCCTGCAAAACATTAAAGAAAAAAAAAAAAAGGATAATTGGGAGAATGTTTGCTAAAACATTTAATAAGCTTGTGAAACGTATTATTTGCAATATATTTACTGCAAAAACAATTTAAAAAGTATCTAACAGTATAAAGTTTTGAATTGAATATTTAACATTAGAGTGCAATACTCGAGCTTTATTTTTCTATCTATGCTAAATAAGAAAGCAGAAATATTGTGTAGCTAGGCTTTTGAAGACATTAAAAGAAAGGACAATTCAATTTTGCATTAAAGTGAGGACCCATTCTCAGAGCCTATAAAATGTATTGTGTCACTGCTGTTTACCAATGCCTCATGTTACTAAACCATAAAGGTCTTCAAGTTTTAAGAAAAATTATACTTTAAAGTAAGCAAAGGGAATATAGTACTTTAGAATCAGAAATGATACAGATATGTTTCGGTTCATTCTATTCTAAAAATAACATTTCCAAAAATTTAACTTATCAAATGCTAGCATTTTACAAAATTTCAGAGCAGAAAATTAGAAACTCTTGCAAATCAAGACTTAAGCCATCAAATCCATGCAAGTCAACATTTCATTTTTGAGGTGAGAAGCTTCAAACAGTTGAACAAATCATTAAACTGAATAATAAAATACCTTAAAGCTTATAATTTTTTTTTTGTAAAAGCAAAAATTTTAAGAGTAAACATATTCTCAGCATTTGATTCAGCACTACCAGCTGGTCCAACCCTCAGCTAAGCAAAGAAAAATAAATATCAAATAACAAACACGTTACAATTTACATTTTTACATTAAATTTTATACTAAACTATTCTTTACAGAACAGTAACCACTCTGGTATTAAACAATAATACTTTAGGAGTCAGAAGAAAGATGAAGGAAGCCTACCTTATTTTACTTTAATTAAAAAGAAAGGAAAAAAAAGAAACCTTTGAGACAAATACCTTTTCTAATCACCATTTCCGATAATGAACGGGCATACATCAGGCCGTTTGCATTACAGAACCATCAGCACAGAACAACAGTCAGAGGTGAGTGACCCCAGGGACTATCTCCACAGCTACAGCAAAGCTTCTCCCTGACACTAATCCTCCCTGTCATTCTCCCACTGTGCTCTAACCACACTGACATCCGCCTGCCTCACTGCAAGCTTAACGGAGCCCTTCCTGACTTTTTACTGTCTCCCCCAATCAATGGTTCAAGCGTGCTCTTTTCACCATGTCCAAATGGCAGCTTCACTCATAATCAAAGTGCATTGCCCCTGTTAAAGGGCTTTCCGAAAGGCTCTCCCATTTGCATTCATTTGCAAAGCAAACTACTTTTATTCACTTTGTTCTGCTATCAAGAATGTTCCCTGAAGCAGATAAATTGGCATAAATACAACCTGCCACTTAAGAGTCAGTAAATAATAGCCAATAGTAGGGAGGATTTTATCAATCATTCTATTTTGTATCCACTAAAAGCTGAAAGCCTCCAACATATTCATCAGTCCAACCCTTACCATACATGCATAAATTCACTTATATAAAAAGGTAACCTACATTGGGTATGGTCGGAATTTCTCTGACATTTAGTGAATATTAGATACTAATTCTCCATATCAGATAATTAAACATTTTACACTAAGGGCTTTTTCTTTCTTTTTGCTTATTTGTTTTTACTCTATTTGGCAGGAAAAAGTATTGTTCAGATATTATGAGGAACATACTTGTATTTTCAAGGAAATTATTTTTATTGCTTAAAAAGCTGAAATTTCAATAAGTACACCAACTGGCTTTATAAATGCAAGAGTGTAAAAGAATTTAAACGTAAGCTTATAGTACAGTCATACCATGAAAAGCATTAAGTTAAACACTGTGGAGACATAGTATTCAAACCATATCCATATCAATGCAATTTCACACTAAATCAAATCATCTTATTTCTGCATTAATTATACATTTTTGCCTCAAACAAAATGTCTATAATGTAATATAAACCACTGTTTTGCACAGCAAACTAGTTAGATTGACTTCCACAAGTACGTTGCATATATGAAAAATGGACATTAAAAATCAATCTGCAATCTAAAACTGCAGTGCTTTTTTGGTCTAGATGTGCAAAGTATAAAATCAAATATTGTGGCTGATATCCTAAAAAATCATCTATTGCTGTAAGTCTTTCAGTTTATGGCTATTTCATGATCATGATTTTTATTAATATTTTAAAAATAAGGTCGAAACTAACAAGGACCATAATCTGCAATCTTTGAGAGAATCCTTTTAGCAATTCATTATTCTATCTCCTACAGCTGTAAGGCACTTTGGTGTATGTGTAATTCCTCAGCAATAGTTAGCTGTGTCTTTAGAAGCAACAGAGCCTACTGTGATCCAGCTACTACAGCAGCCATGAGGGTGGTCATGGTGTGAATGTATTCTTCTTGTTCTAATCTGAAGCCAACTGTAGCTGTGAAAGTCAAATGAATGCATAAGCATACGGCTTTGCCACTTAAAACCATGTGTGTCCAATATTACTGAGACACTGGGCCAAAAATTCATCTCTACAGTAAAGTAATGGAAGATACCACATGGTGTGGGGACAGCTGTTGTGACTACACAAGCATTTCAATTTTGCATCAGAAAAGCCTCACTCTGGGAATAAATCTCCATACTGAATACAAAATAAAAAGTAAGTTTTCAAATTATTCAATATTTTATGTGACGATGAAAAAATATCTAAAGTAAGAGCTGCTATGAAAATTTAAGTTGCATTCCCAAATAATGTCCATTTGTGATAGATTTCTGTCATAAAACCAATTATGTTCAAAGATGTGGTCTCTTTGAAAATCCTTATATCCATGGGAAATAGGAGTTGGACATTAAAGTAACCTATACATACTCCCCCCCCCCCTCAGAGCATTAGACCATAAAATGCTAATTATAAGCTATCATGCAATTTATTTGGTACTGAAAATTTATAAAAATGTATGTACTGCACTTTCAAACTTGGTAACAAAAGATCTATTATTAACTAATAGATATTGAAACTTCTTAATGAATAATATTTCTATTGAAATGACCTGTTAATTATTAGTTATATAATTATAAAAGTTACATTTTTGGATTCAACTATTTTTAGACTCAGCTCAACTCATAAGTTCTATGAAATTTTACGTAAGAAAATAGTATCTTTACAAAGTATCACCCAGGTGTATATCTCCTAGTGCAGATATATCCAATAATCTGCTCCCCCTAATTCTATACTCTGTATTGATTTTGTATTTTAGAATATGCATTTGGCCTTCAGCCATCCAATTTTTGTATCTAATTAAAAATAAAAGTTAAGTGCCTTTGACTATATGTGGAAAAATGGTACATAAAAAACAAATGAACTTAAATGGCTTTGTATTTTTAGGATGAGAAAGTTTTCTTTCTTTTCTTTTAGGATTTATTTATGCATACAAGAACTGGGGTACAGGCCAGAGGCGTGGGGGGTGAGAGGATTCACCAGAGAAGAGTGGGGGACAGAACAGGCAGATTGACCAAAGTACACTGCTGAGGGGAGCAGCGGGCAAGTCAGGAGAGGTCTGATGCACCATGTGAGTTGCTCCCTGGCAGGGGATTGAATTTGTGCTGCAGGGGCTGCAGACAGTCCCATAGGTTGCGTCTTAACCTCTTGTGCCACCAGGGAGGCCCGGAAAGTTTTCTTTTGAAGAAAAGCTTGTAACTCATCCTAACCACTGTTCTAATGTCATTCTTGAGCAGCAATCATTACTTCAAACTGACCAGGAATGCCTCCTTATCTATGGCTTAGTTGCCTTCTGGACCAGTATTCTAAACTGTGGTGTGTAAATTGGCACCAACCTCCAATTTGTTATCTATCTGTGGTGGCAAGATAAGTTTAGAAATTTAACTTGGGGCCACCACCACCAAGTGTGTGATCCGTAGACTTGAACAGAGTATAAGCCAATTGGGGTGATGTTAATATGCTAGGTAACATGTTAGTATGCTAGGTAACGTGAGCTACATTCCTTTTAAGCACAATAAGACTAAAGATTGGTCAGAAACAGATGGAAATAATTTTTAAACTTGGTCCTTAACTAAAGCTGAGTCAGCTTCTACAGGCAGTTTGAGGTCCTTTACTACAGAATTTAAACAATGCAAATTGTTCAAATTCCCTTGTACCTCCTTTTTGGGGAGCAGCAATAAATAAATTCTCCTTGAAGAGACAAAAATGTTTGACCCTTTCCTTTAAAAAAATATTTTATGCCAAAAGTGTTGGGATGATTCATTACACAGTAAAATATAATTAATACAGGAAGATCATTCTAGGAATAAGAAATGGCAAGTTGCAAAGGCCTCGAGGTCACAGCATGTCTGATGTTTGAGGTAGCAAGATGACCAGAATGGATGGAACAAAGCAAGCAACTGGAGCAAGCAGAGGAGATGAAACCAGAGAGGTAAAGACATGAAACCACATCAGTCCTTCTACTCTTGACTCTGACCCATGTGTTAAGCTAATGGAAGGATTCCCCCGCAACCCCTTTAGTAGCTTTCGTGATTTTGTCTGTTGAGAAGGGTTTATTTACAGAGGGGCTATTTAACAAAGATTTGGGTAAGCCAGTGCAGTAACAGTGCTGAGAACTAAAAGCTGGAAGAGAGAAAAGATCCCAGAATAGTCTCCTCACAAGATAATAGCGAAATCAGGAGGAGGGACAAAGGTGATCCAAGATGACCATGTCCAGTACTACAGCGAATTAAGTTTGGAGTAATTTACCATAGAGACCCAATAGTTGAGCTACATGGATATGAGGATGTGGTAAGAATCTCAGAAGTCTATTTAATGATAGTGCTAATCTCTACAATTTTCTTAGTAAAGGAATACTGTTTTTGATTTACTATTTTGGGAGTATCCTTTCTCAGCTGGGGTTCCTTGACTAAATCTAAAAACAAAATTATTTGAGAGCCATTTTTTCAATTCTCCCAAGGATGGTACACAGAGTAGGAAAGAAGTTTACT